GCTGTAGATGATAATGGAAAACTGGACTATGCAGTCAAGGCCACTGTATTATATGATGTGATCCATGGCTATTTCTAGTAGCATGGATTTTTGAAGTGGACAAAATATGGCAAGCAATTTAGAAGAAAATAGAATAATTTGTTTTGTATGAAATATATATAGTTTTTATATATGTATATTAAATTGATAAATAATTTCATTCTCATCATTATCAAAAGTAAACTATATTTCTTCAACCTTCATACAAATATATAAATATATCATGTGCAAGGGGCAATATAAGTGCTCAGAAATACACATCTTTTGATGCAAACAAGAAATGCATAACGTTTAATGCAAACAAGTTGCCCTACCAATAACTATACAACTTGTAGGAAATCGCCAAAAGCATTCATAACACAATATATCCAATTTCTCAATCTGGCTGTACTTGAGTGATCTAAGAATATCATTTCCATTTTAGACAACCAAGATGTCTTACAAGTTGTGATGAATACATATTACTTGCACAAGATCAGGTAGAGATCTGATGCAGAAAATTGTGACCAAACCCTCAATACATAAGTCAGAACTATTGCAACAAACATACATGTCAGGAAACTCTAGTTGGCACTTCTCCACAGCAAAATGGTATACTTGTGCAATTTGAATTGGGTGTTTAGTCATTTTTCTCCCTCTGTGAGCAGAGTAAGGATTGTAGTTAGTGAAACAGTGCATGTTTTGCTTGAAGAAGGTACATGGATCTCATAGCAGATTGTAGAAAAGCTATGTACACAACTGGACCAAAATCACATTTAACAATATAAACAGCTTCCTAATATTTCATGTACCTTATCCTCTTGACTCATTCTTCTTCAAATATTTCAAAATGGGGAAGAAGCAGGGATAATATTTTTTTCTGACCTACTGTTTCAGTTCAAATTGTCCTGTCTCATTGCATCATTGTGCAAGAGAGAAGCAATAACTAGCATTCTCAAGACCTGCAAGGTGGTTCTATCACACAGTCTTTTTGCCTGTAAAAGCATTTCATCCATCCCCATGAAGGCATCTGCTTGATTGGGCCCTTTCAGTGAGTACACAGAAGGTCTTGCTCCACTAATATGAATGGTTAGCATCAACATGGAAGCCAGCATTGGAAGAATAATCTGCTACGAATTGCTAACCAAGCCTCTTTCATTTCAGCAATGCTCACACAAATGTTTTCTCTCCCCCCCCCCCAAACTCTACTAAATGAACAAGTGCTGCATAGGAACAGATTTTACAAAGTTAAATATAAATATTAACAACACATTATCAGAGACATTCCTTAAGTTCATGACACATTTTTAGGTATATAAAAGCAGTTTTAACTCTGTGTCTGAGTTCACATAGTGCAGGAAGCTATGGTTTGCTTAACCATGCTTGATTTAATCAGTCAAAATTGGCTGGGTTCACCCAACATGCTAAGCCACAAATCATGGTTTACAAAATGTAATGCCAAGATTCATATAATATATTAAACTAAAACCAGAGGGACACTATTTTGACTTATCATGGTATGAATGCAGCATCTGTGACCTTGCCTTCTCAGAAAAACATTCTTGCAAAGCTTAGAAATGTTGGGCTATAACACACTTTTCAACACAAAAACTCTTAGAAATTTAAAAACTGATAAATGCCCATTGTTTGGCCATACACAATGTGCCCATTTTTGTCTGAAACAAGAAACAATACATTAAGTAATCTATTATATCTAAACATTTTTTAAGGATCTCATTTTAATTTACTACAAGTACAACTAGTACAAATAAGAGAAAGCACACAAGCAAAGAGACTTTAACTTCCAGCATTTCAAAGCAATCTTACAGTTTTTACATAATGGAAATATGTTCCAGATTGTAATCGTTCTGTGCCAATGCAAAATATTAAAATGTTTATTCAAACATCCAAAATATGTTTTCAAAAGTTAAAAAATGAAGTGTTTTGTATTAGGATTAAATAATCAAGAGGACTTATATTTCTGTGATATATTGGAGCCAAATGTATTTTCATTATGCTTTTGGCCAGTAAAAATCAGAAATTGTTAGCAACAATTGAACATGGAAAATTTTTCAATGTCCTCGCCTCCCTATTCTTGAATTATGTCATTGTGACTTTCTGGGCAACTCTTTTATATGGAACAGAAGGGAAAAAAAATCCTCAGTGTTTCTCTTCAAATAGTTGATTGGAAATATTGAAGATATTTGCATATGGAAGGGTATTTAAAGCCAGAACTCCTAGAGTGTGGGTTTATATGTGTGAATGGAGAATGAGTGAGTAAGTAAGTAAGTAAGCAAGTAAGTAAACAAACAAACAAACAAACAAACAAAGCATCTCTGATTACAGAATAAGCATTCATCCATGTAGCACAGTTTAAATAAGTGGTTCTGAACCTGTGGGTCAGGACCCCATTTGGGGTCGAACAACCATTTCACGGGGGTCGCCAAACAACACAGTCCGCCATTCCCCCCCCCCTTTTCCTTAGCTCTGCTACTCCCTTTTATTCTATTGGCTTTTGAATAGAGTCTAATTCTATTGGCTTTCAAAAGCCAATAGGAATTGTCCAGGCTGTCTCTGCCTGCTGAGCCCGCCAAAAGTCCCATTCTGCAAACGGTGCTGCACCAGTTGAGTAGTCCTCGACTTACGACCGGTTGAGTAGTCCTCGACTTATGACCGGTTGGGGGATCACGGCATTAAAAAGGTTAAGAACCACTGGTTTAAATGCATGAGGATATACTGAACTGGAATTTCAAATTTGACCTAGATGTAGATTTGATTTATACATTGTATTATTATACCTTGATCTAATTAACAATCTGTAATTGATTAAGTTCATATCACATAAAGACTTAGTTCACCCATTGTCCAAAGCCATAAGAGAGGTGGGGGAAATGACTGGTGTTGGGTTACTTCTGTTGTTTAAATTCAAACTGGATGGCTTGAAACAGAGTATATCATAAAGAATACTCTTTTTCAAGCCACTCAGTTTGAATTTAAACAACAGAAATAACTCAACACCAGTCATTTCCCCCACCTCTATTGTGGCTTTGGAGAATAGGTGAACTAAGTAACAAGTGCTGTATCATTTAATCCTATTTTCTCAATTCATTTAAATTTAATTTATTTAATTCCCAATTTATTCCCAATTTAATTCCAGTTAGATTTTGGACTACAGTTCTTGAAATTCTTCAGCTGTACATCATATCACTTATAGCAGTGTTTCTCAATCTTTTTAATGCCGTGACCCCCAACTGGTCGTAAGTCGAGGACTACTCAACTGGTGCAGCACCGTTTGCAGAATGGGACTTTTGGCGGGCTCAGCAGGGCAGAAACAGCCTGGACAATTCCTATTGGCTTTTGAAAGCCAATAAAATTAGACTCTATTCAAGAGAGTCTATTCTATTGGCTTTCAAAAGCCAATAGAATAAAAGGGAGTAGCACAGCTAAGGAAAAGGGGGAAAAAATGGCGGACTGCGTTGTTTGGTGACCCCTGTGAAATGGTCGTTTGACCCCAAATGGGGTCCCGACCCACAGCTTGAGAACCACTGACCTATAGAGATGTGTATGAACCAACTATCAGTTTATATTGCAAACTCAGAGTAAAAGGAGCAGAAAAACCTATGGTATTATTCAGCATGGTTTTATGTCCTCTTAGGAAGTCTCCCTGCTGATTAATGAACAGCACTGATGAGATTTTTTTTTGTGATACAAGTTCTAGTTTTCCCTTGCTATTTGGTATGGATTAGACACATAACCATTTGGTAATATGCTAAGACATGAAAAGTTCATTCTTGATTGCCAGTAAGTTAAAAAAAGTTTTTGCAAAATGTTTTTCCATATATGTGATTAAGATCCCATCTGATAAATATATTCTAGTAGTTAATCATAGACTAAGACTTGATTTTTACAAAAAAGCTGCCATGGTAGGTATGACAAGTCACAAAAACCTATTTATCAGAAGGTGCTCTAGCCCTTAGGCTAGTCTCTATCATCCCATTGTGTCCTTTATGAAATACAAAGCCACTACTGTTGTTTCAATGATTTATACCCTACTTTTTTGTGGTATATAAAGTGGTATACAAAGTGCTTTTTCTTCCAATTTTTCTCCTACAACAATTTAGTAAGCAGATTAGGCTGAGAGAATGACTGGCTCAAAGTCACTGAAAGATCTATGATTAGACTAGAATCTCCTTGGGTCTCTTTGGCCTTAGTTCAACACCATAACTATTATACCATAGTTTGGTGGTTTTATGTTGTATTGTTTCACATATTTTTTAAATTAAATGCTTTAAAAATAGATGGCAGTTCCTGAAAAGTTTGTATGGCCTATTGCTCATGAACTCCATGCCCAAAAAAAAACAGGAGTGTTTAAATCAGAGCTCAATTATGTATTATCATGTCTTTTCATATGCTGGAATTTCCTTAAAGCCTGGGTAGGGCCATATTTAATTAACATTTAGTTTTTCCCTTTCCTAAGTACTCAAGATGACATACATGATGCAATTAAATCATCAACAGATTATTGACTGACTTGGGGCTCCTAAAACCTTGAAGGAATCTTTGAGATAGGAAAAGGCAAATCTGAATAGAGCAGTGATTCTCAACCTTTTTAATGCCGCGACCCCAACCAGTCGTAAGTCGAGGACTAAACCGGTCATAAGTCGAGGACTAAACCGGTCGTAAGTCGAGGACTACCCAACCGGTCGTAAGTTGAGGATTTTCCCTGCCGGGAGCGCCGCGCATGCGTGGCGCCGCCCCCTGCGCCGGCCGAGGTGTAGCTGGCAAGCGGCAGAGACGGAGCAAGCTGACCACTGGCTGGGCCACCAGCTGGCCCAGCCCAAGGGAGGTAAGGCACCCACCAGAAAAGGGGGAAAAAATGGCAGACAGCCTTGCTTGGCGACCCCCGTGAAATGGTCGATCGACCCCAAATGGGGTCACGACCCATAGGTTGAGAACCGCTGGAATAGAGATTCAATCCTGACAGCAACTTGATGAATGAAAGATTAAGATTGTTAGAAGCTGAAAAAAGAAGGACTAAAATAAGTATTTTTCTAAAATTCTGGAAACTCTTTATAGACATTTGGTCAACATTTGGACAGAAATGAGAATGATTTTTGAAATTGTGAATGGAAAAGTGGGAGGAGTTAGTGAAATATAATAAATTGACTGTTAACAGAGGATTATGAAGTTTAATTTACAGTAGCTGTTGGTTTTAACTGTTAACTATTTTTATATATAGCAGAAATATGTCAGTCTTAGTGGGTTGGATAAGCATTGTTGTAGAAATTCGTAAATTGTGTGCCTGCTTCGCAAGGTGGGCAGGAGCTATTATTGTTATCTGTATTCAGCTTGAGGGGACAATTTATGTATATGTCTGTTTTGTTTTTTTCTTTTTCTGCACTATTTTGTGTAGTCTTGTTTAGTTTTATTTTGTTTTTGCATTTTTCCCTTTTTGGAGTTTGTATTTTAATATTTATTTGTAACTAGAAGCTGGGGAGTAAAATTTATGAAGAAAACAGCTTTAGTACCTATTAAAAACAAAACAAAAAACAAAAAAACAAAACCAAAAGAAATAAACCACATTTGCTCCCTGTCCTGAAATTCCTTGTAATATGATATTTATGCCTGTGAATCTGGCAAGAAAAAAAAACTTCCTGTGAATATCAGGACTTTGATTTTATCCAGCATTCTAAGGCTTCCTTCCTTTACTTTTTTGCAATATTAGTGAGTGATTGCGTTTCCTCTGTCTACTGACTTTGCTTATTTATTTAAATATTCCAAGTAAACCCGTGAACATTTTAAAACTTTAGTATCAACGTACATCAGAAAACCGGCTCCATTCTATATATCAAGGATTCGCCTACCTTGGCCTTTGTGGTATATAAACATTGTCATAACTGAAATACTTTTTAAAAGGAAGTATCAAATAGATGTAATTTGGGGCATTGTGACATGGATCTCCAAACCTTATAAATGTGCCTGAATATACTTTTAAATACCTGATCCATACATATAGAAAAGACAGAATTCTGTCCGCTAATAAAACACAACTGGAAATAAAGGATAAGAAACAGTGACATGATACTCTAGAGGCACAGCAGATAAAAATGATGATGATGATGCAGGTCATGAATTAGACCCAAACCTCCAGTTGTATATGGTTATGGTGCGAATGTTACACCGCTGTTCAGTCTAGGGTGTGAGTGGTGGTTTTGGTGATGAACAGGATCCTTGACTGTCAAAGCTGGTTGCTCGGCCTGGCAACTGGAACAGATGATACATTTTAAGAAAATAAGAAATGACCTACTGAATCAAGGTCCGCGAAGTCCAGCATCCTGCTTCTCACTTTGGCCAATTTGATGCCTCCAGGAAGCCTACAAGCAGAATACCAAGGCAATAACCCTCACCCACTCATTGCTCTACACCCACGGTACCCTGAATAAATTGGATCTACATACAGGCATCAGGAATTTGAGCAGTCAATAGTTTCAACTCTCTACCTAGATAGTGTATTCAGAAAGCCATTTAATGTGCAGAAAGAGATTGTGTACCAGTATTGGTGCAGGTGCAGAAAGGATTTAAAAATAGTTCTGTCCCAGTGCAGTAATTGCTTAGTTTTCTTAAAAAATAAATGAAACATTGGGAGTTATACTCACTGGACTTCTCTAATCAGTTATTTGCTGACTGTTGCTCATGGAAGAGTCTCTATTCTCCTACCTTAATCTTAGATATTTGAAAATTATTTTCTAATCTCTCCTGCAGCTGATTTTCTACTTAGAAGTAGCAGAAGGTGCTGGTATCAGTGTGATTATTTTTTATTACAGGGGGTCCTCACTCACTGACCACAATTAGACAGTAAGTCCAACATGATTGTAAAATGAAAAATGATGAGATTGCATTTAGCTTACAATGGAAGTTAGTCAGTTCCAGCTGCAGTCATTAAATGAATTGCCACAGATCACATGACTGTGACTTGCAACTTCCCGCTGGTTTCCCCATTAACTTCATTGGAGGTCAGCTGTGAAGGCCACAAATTGCAATCACATGACTTTGGGATAGTAAGATAATCATAAATGTGTGCTAGTTACCAAGTAACCAAATTGTGATCTTGAAGCCACTGTGATGGCCACAACTTCAAGGATCAGTCATAAGAACAAGTGTCCTTGTTCAGAACTGTTGTAATGTTGAATGGTCGCTGAAGAAATGGTCAGTAGGCAAGGACTATCATTCTGTATCTGAAGCTACTCTTGTGGCCCATAGGGCAGTTCCCAATCTGAAAAAAGGTCTATGAAAAGAGACCCCATCACCCCAATATCTCTTGGGATATCATGAAAGCACTGGAGGCAGGGAGAAGGCTGAACACAAGAGAGTGTGGTACATGGAAAGGCATGATATTTATGCACCTCTCTTGGCACTTTACTGCTGAATAAGTACTAGAACACATTCCAGCTGAGCTTCTCTTTTTAAAAATACATTGCCAAAGCAATTGTTCTTTTATCAGACTGAAGCAGAATTAAAGGAAAAAAATTGCAGGAGAATCTATATGGGAAGTAGGGGAAAAACATGGGAATTAGCTACTTCATGGAAATATTTTTATCCTTACCTCTACTAACGGATGCCAGTGAGTTATTGGTTTGCGTGGATATGCCAGCATTTCATTCCAGTGGTCTCTTCCAAGTCCTTCTGCATCCAGTCCAGTCCTACATACTCCAATCACTTCATTGTGCCCTACTCTAGGATTAAAGAGAAGGAAAATTTGTCCACAGAACAGTATATACTTGTGATGGACTATATTTTTATTTATTTTTAAATTTTATGCTGCCCATCTCTCTACCGAGTGACTATAAGAAAGTGGCTGGAGGTGGAGGTAAGACAAAAGACAATATAACCAGTGTTGGAAAGGAGAAAGAAGAAGAGAATTAGGATAGTTACTCCCTAGAATCTCCCAGGTTATATCCATTAGGTAAGGCTTTAGTCTGGCATGATTCTGGCTAGATTCTGAACTTTGGCAAGATTGTTCTAGTTATTCTTGGGCTGGGGCTGAGAATGTTGATGTAAAACTGCAGATGGAATAACTATCTTTTGTATCAAGAAGATGTAGAATTTATGAGTTGCATGAGTTGTGCAAATTAAGAAAAATGCAATTTCTTTGTTTTATATATTTTTCTCTTCTGCAGTGACTGGAGAAGGTCAGATAGATATAGGACATTGCCTCACCTGTTGGCACCTGGAAATGTTATTCATTGAATTCTTTCAAGTTCTGGGATTTCATCAAATTTTTCTAGGCTTTTTAGATGTGAGAATAATAATGCTTCAAAGGATAATACTGCCTTTATAAAGTCTAGAAAGGTGCTTTAAAATATACAATAAAAGAATTGAAGTTGCTGCAGCTTGTTTCCTTCCTATTCAATTGCAGTCCTCACATCTCTATGTATCCACTATCACAGTGTATTTTTGGGGTTTGCTGTAGCATCTGTTGTTAGGGACCATTTTAAATATTTCAAATAATCTCTTAACCATGAGAACTAGACTTATTTTGCCTGGTGATAGAAGCTAAAGTTGTTTCTAAAACCCAGAATCTGGAGTTGGCAATCTTTTGAATTTATGTTGTCTGAAAATGAAACACTAACACTTATTTTCATGGTAGGATATCTAAGTATAAACCATATATGACCAAAACAGCAATTAATGATGTTGGTCAAATAATACATCTTTTTTTTTCTTTTAAAGCTGCCATTTATTGAACTATGTTTGCCTTCCTGTAGTCTGTCTGATCCCTGAGATTACACTAGATGCCATGCTCTGGGTGATCCCACAGACCATTCATGGTGGAAAACTTGGTGGTAGAAAGCTTGCTGCAGATTGTCGCAATTACCAGCCAAATTTATACTAATTTGTACTAATTTTATTGCCATCATATATGCAAATTACAATCCTCAAATGCTTATCAATCAGCAGGCTTTGAGATTTGAGAAATGTGGAGACATGCAGATAGCACTTGTTGAGAACACTTGAGAATGAATTTTTTTTGGACATCATTCATCAGCTGTAAAGCATAGCTGTACAAATCCAGGAAAAGATATAGATGCTTTAAAGGTAGAAGCAACATGTACATGTGTTCCAAATCATATTACGCCCTCTAAATTTGGATCTTTCACAGTCCAAAATAATCTAATGAAGGGAGATTATGATAAGTAAGGGAGGAATGATAAGTATTTTGATAGAAGACGTGGTAGAAGATCAGACAGAGCAGTAAATAGGAGTCCAGGCAATGACTTTAAACTGGAGATCCCATGTTAATATATTTGTAACATTATACATATTCACAAGAAATATTTTTTCATTTCTTTGGAAAGAGGAAAATTCAACATTACTACCGGTCATAATCCATGACTGCAATGGAGAGGCTGACTTGTTCCACGTTTTCAGGAGGAATGTCAAAAACTATAGCTTCACTGTACACTGGGTTGAGAGTGTTCCTCTTTGTGGTTGTTTTCCTTTTTTTCAGGCGTCGACCGTCACACATCAGAGATACCTTGACATAGGGATCTGAGATAACAGGAAGGGAAGTGAACAACTAGAAGTGCATGGACATTTTTTCCAGCAGACAAAAATACAAATAATCAGCCAGTTTCATCTAGGTATCACAATGGGTGGCTGTAACCTCTTTGATCATGCTTGAATAGCCCTTTCAGAAAATTCAGCACCAGGGTTCTTAAAATCCTGATAAGGCTCTGTTTCCCCACCAGCTCCACCCAGATGGACTGAGTGGAAAGGCACCTGCTCACCTGATGAACCAGTAATATCCATTGCTTTGAGATTTCGGCATTTGATGACTGTGAGGGTCATCCTCCCTGCTGTCGGCAAGTAGCAAAGGGAAAACATGATTTCTCCCAGGTCAATGCTTTCCTGTAAACGTATTCCAGAAAAGTACATTTGTTAAAACACATATACAGGATCTTACTTTTATCTCACCTTTTTCTCGCTGGAAATCTTCCCTAAACTGATATTATTTGAACTTTGGTATGTAATACAGAACTGGGAAATTTGTAGCCCTTCCATATAGAGTGACTGGATAGGTAACGATTAGACTGCCTTTGACAAGGAAGAGCAGGGTTCAAATTCAGGCTTGTTCCTCCCTAAATCAGTTGGGGGTCCTTGAGCAAAGACCCCCTTATGCTTCATCTGCCTACCTCAAATATGAGTGACACCAACTAGAAGAGTCATGCCAGCTCAGATGTTGCCCAGATAAACAAGGTCCATGTCAGACGTTGAAGTTCTAGGATAATCTGATGATAAGTAGGCTACTAGATGAAACCATGCATGGGGGAGACAAGGAAACTTGGAATGCTACTACAATAGATCTAATGAGAGGAGATCTGGGAGAATGGCTCTAACTGATCCTAGGAACAGAGCTTTTCGTCCAGAAGAGTGCAGAGCTAAGATATTGTGCAGAGCCCACAAACTCTCAGACCTCTGGTAGAGGACCTAAGATTGAGGAAGACATATACCAACCATTGGGTTGTGTGTGTGTGTGTGTGTATGTGTGTGTGTGCACGTGTGTGTGTGTGCAAGTGTGCATGATTTTTATTTATTAACAATTTTTTAAAAAGAACAAAAGCAATGCAAATTTTGGAAGAGAAAAGTATGGAAAATAAAGAAAAGTAATAAGTGGAGAAAAAATACAAAGAAAGGAATACAGAAGAGAAAGGAAAAAAAGGAAAAGCGAAGAAAAATTATAACAAAGAATAATTGTATTTATTAGTGACTAATGAACCTTTTGCTGAAAAAATGAATGCATGATTTATGGGCTTGTTAATTAGAAAGGGTAGACTATGGAAAGAAGGAAATAATGTAACCTCAGAAAGAGAGAGTAAAATATAAATGAATTTGTAACTGCTGTTAAGCAGATTGGAAGCTTAGGAAATCTATAGCTCTTCCAATACTATTTGCCTCCAACAGCTGTTAGCACTACTGAAGGCCAGTTATTATGGGAATTATATGGCAATATTCAATGGGCTATAGTTTTGTCTGAATGAATTAATTGGGGCATTAATTTTTAAAAAATCATAATTTAAAAGATAACCTTATTTCAACCTTCCCCTCAATTGTATTAGATTTCTGTCTTTCATAAACTGAGATGATAGTGATAAAAATCTCCATAATTTTTTAAAAAGACACTGCTTTGGTCCGAGAATGTGGACTGTAGTTTCATTTTAGAAATAAGAGACTCTTTGATCCATTCTTATAAACATTTTTACAGAAGCGCCATTAATTTTGATGTGAGTTATTCCCAGTTAAATGCATATATAATTACATCTATACCCTGACATTTGTCCATGAGAGAAACTAATTCTGCTTTTTAATAAAGGGCATCTCAATAGCTTTGGATATAATTCTTTATAAGAAAACATGTTCAAAAGACAGGGTATCCATGGGGAGAAGGTTAAAAAAAAGTCAAGATGTCAGCCACAACTGCTCAACTGAAGCCGTGCCCTTTTGTATATGTGTAACATATGTGTAACACATGCCAAGGGGAAATCATGCAGATTTCTTTAATTCATCCACCTCCCCTTATGGAGATAGCACTAAAAGGATGTAGTTAATATTGGCTATACTTCCACAATGCTAATAATAGTATTCCTCATTTTAACTATTAAATGCATTCATCCATTTTATACCTGGTACAAAAATGCATTGATCAGTGGTATTTTCACCCAAAAAATTATTATTTTTCTTTTTAATGACTCTGTAATCCCTTAATTCAGAGTAGAATTGGAGTGACAGGATGGAGCTGAGTGTTTACTGGCCAGATGCCTTTCCTGATGCCTATGTGGAGTTCACAGCACATATTTGTAATTTGCAACCTAAAAGTGAAACATCTCCTGCTACCTAGGATTGAACTCTCAACCTCTGAATGAGAGGCAAATGTCTTTACTATTAGGCCACCACACTATCCTTCTTAAAAGATTAAAATATTCCTATGAATAAATATGTGTTCATGGCAGGGTGGCTGGGGGCATCAAATAATGTCAGATCATTGTCAATTTCAGGAACATTTAGTTTGTGTTGCATCAGATTCATGTAAAAGGCAAACAGAAGTGGGAAAGGAAACTGTGAATTTGGCAGTATAACAACTTGACAACTGGGAGACTGCTGATATCTGATGAACACATCCAGCAAGGGGCTGTAAGATTTAATTGCCTCTTCATTCCAGCAAGTAGCACAACAACCCATAATGATTTTTGCAAATACACCAGGATACAGGAAAAGATGAGTCAGAAAGAGTCTTTGAAAAACATTTGGTTGCTGGAGACTTAACTGGTAGCTACACTGATCATCCATTAATATGTTAAACCAGGGGTAGGCAACCCAAAACACTCAAAGAGCCACTTGAACCCGTTTCCCACCAAAAACAAAACACCGGGAGCCGCAAAACCCTTTTGATATCTAAAATGAAGATAACACTGCATATATCCTTTTTTATCTTTATTATAGGTGTGTGTGTGTGTGTGTGTGTGTGTGTGTGTGTGAGAGAGAGAGAGAGAGAGTGTTTGTGTATGTGTGTGTATACACACACACACACACACACACACACATTAAAAATAAAAGTAAAAATATTGGGAATATCCATACTATTAAAACAATGATCACCGAGAGAATGCTTTAAGAGAATAAAATTACATACACACACAGGTAAAAAAAGGATATATGCAGTGTTATCTTCATTTTAGATGTCAAAAGGGTCTCTCTCTGTCTCTCTCCCTCCCTCCCTGCCCTTGGTCTGCCACTCCTCTTCCCCCACTCTCTTTCTTTCTCTCTCTTTCCTCTCTCTCTCCCCCTCCCTCTCTCTCTCTCTTTCTCTCTCTCTCTTTCTCCCCCCCATCTGCTGCTCACCTGGCAAGCTTCAAGTTGTTCTCCAACAATCTCAGGGGTAGGCAACCTCATCTCTTTTATGACTCATGGACTTCAACTCCCAGAATTCCTGAGTCAGCCTAGCTGGGCTAGCTAGCTCTCTCCTGCCCTTCTTGCTTCCTGCTGAGACGCAGCAAAGGGAGGAGCTCTGCCCAGAAAGCTTTTCAGCTCCTCGGAGAACAATGTGAGTGCACTCTCTTTTACACATATACACACACACACACAAAACACACACACACACACACACACACAGAGAGAGAGAGAGAGAGAGAGAGAGAAGCAGGGAAGCGCAATTGCCTCTCTCTGTCTCTGTCTCTCTCTGCAAAAGCAGAGGAGGCTGGGAGCCACAGGGGAAGGCTCAAAGAGCCGCATGTGGCTCCGGAGCCGCAGGTTGCCGACCTGTGTGTTGGACAGAAGTTCCTGACTCTGATTCTGCTATATATTAATGTGAACAATGCTGGCATAAAATTGGGCTTAAAGCAGATGTTTCTCAATCTTGACAACTTGAAGATGTATGGACTTCATTTTCCAGAATTTCAGAGTCAGTCATGCTGGGTGGCGAATAGGGAGTTGAAATCTACATGTCTTTTAGGTTGCCCAGATTGATAAATATTAACTTAAAATAAATTAGCCATGATGAACATAGACAGATTCATTAGCGGTACATACAGCAGCAATACCCAGAGCTTATTAGGGTTAATTATTCTCAATTTATGTTATATAATATTAAATTTTATGGATTTTTAGACAAAGGTCAAAAAGAATCCTCAAACTAGTGCTTAGCTCATAAGTCATACAAAATTGCATTGATATATTTGTAAATTATAAAAACAATTTTATAATTATAAAATTATAAAAGCAACACCTTTTATGCCTATAAGGAATAAAAGCAATACAAAAGTATGTTTTGCTGTGTAGGATTTTTTTTTCGTTTTTAAATATCTTATATAATGTATCTAGAACATGGGCTGGATTTAATACAGCTATCAGAGAATCCAGATGGACTGTAGCTCCTTCCTGAGTATGTATTTGATCAGGTTTAATTATGAAGGTCAGAGAAACCATGGTTCAGATGAATTCTACAGAATGTGGCAGCATGGGGTTTCAAAATCTAGAGCAGTGGAAGTTATTAGATCTTTGAAGGCCTGAATCTTTCCTGAAATCAGGATGGTTTAGCAGCATCAGCCAAAATGGAATAGCTAAGGGGACTGACCACTGACCTCTGCTGTCTGATCTAAAGCTGTCTGATTTAATGAAAAGAAGGACTAGGGGTGACATGATAATAGTGTTCCAATATCTCAGTCAAAAAAGCCTTTTCCACTTTGAATGAATTACAAGCATTGGCCCACTCCACACTGGATGAAGGCTTTGCCAGATCTTAGTGTACAGTCCACAGGGACACCTAAAGTTGCTTTTCCAAAAAGCAACTGGACTTTCTTGGGTTTTTTTCCTTGAAAACGTTTCACTTCTCATTCTAGAAGCTTTTTCAGTTCAGAACTGAAGAAGCTTCTTGGATGAGAAATGAAATGTTTTCAAGGAAAAAACCCAAAGAAGTCCAGTTGCCTTTTGGAAAAACAGCTTTGGGACAATCATGACCTGGATAAGATGATTTGGTGATTGAGAATCTCCATAGACTACAGTCCACAGGGATAGTATTCATTCATTATATTATACCAAATCTAAATTCCATTGTCCTTTGCATGATTCATGGGCTGAGTGTATATTTCCAAAGCTTTAATTAAAGCCTAGCTCACTGCATTCAGGAGCTTCACAGCTGGATTATGGATCTCCCAAAGCAAGATCTGCACTCTCTCACTTCACTCTTGTGAAGTAGAAAGCTTGTGATTTAGAATTCTAATAAAAAAAGAAACGAAAGAAGAAACCTTTGTTCATTAGCACCACATCAGGAAACAGGCACAATAAGCTGGACAATGTAATTGGCTTTGTGTGCCTCAGAGAACGGAAATGGTTCCTTCTAAAGTCAGAATGTTATGCTGCATATATATTAGGAACTCTTACTCATCTTAAAAGTCACTCATTTGAAAGAACCAGTTATAAGTACCAAATCTCTATGGCCATGCCGAGTTTTAAAAGTGAAAATCTTGGTCATTCTGTGTAACAGTGAACTATGATAATATATTTTAAAAGCCATCTCTCTTTAAATGCTAAGTAACTGCATGCTGCTGGAGCTATTTATATCTTGATCATTAAAGATTATACTTAGTCTAAGCTGAGTCAAGTGTATAATAGACTTTCTTTCCCCCATTGGCTCATTTCTTCTACAACTATTTTTTCCCATCCATGATCAATGTTGGGGAAATTTGATGAACTAGCTCAGTAGTTCTTAGGATGGTGTCCTGAAATCTGGATATCTCTAGAACAGGGGTGTGAAACTGCTGGCCTGCGGGCTGGACGCGTCACCAGGAAACTGCACCCACCCCATTGCTGGCAATGGGGAAAAAGCTCCGATACACTGGGCAATATCATGTGACGTCACAAGTTTGACATGTCTGCTCTAGAACAATATTTCTCAACCTCAGCAACTTTAAGATGTTTGGATTTCAACTTCCAGAATTCCCAAGCCTCCTTGTATAGTATCATAGGTCTTTGGAATTTAAATCCAATTATTCTGCATGTCTTCACCTCTGTTTTTAGATATGGAAAATCTCCTCTCCAAAGCTACCTTTGATTCCACATATGAGCATAACAATTTTGCAATTTCTGAATGTTATAGCATGATCATCTGTGGGTGATTTTTTTAACTAAATCCAAGGGAAGAATTATTTTCCTCTCTTTCCACATGTAATGGCTTTGACACTAATAAAGGAGAATATTTGTAGCTCAGGGTTGAAATGAGGTGTCTTTGGTGTTCTTTGAGCTTGGTTGTTTTCTTGTAGATGTTTCATTACCCAAACTAGGTAACCCCACTAATCTAGGCCTTGACACTGAGTTCCCGTAGGCTTTGATTTTTTTTAAAGAAGCAACTTCTTGTTAAATGAAATCTAACTGTGGTCATTGATAAGATAGTACAGATTGCAAACCTAAACTGTTTCTGTATTTGCTGTTTTCTATAGCCTCAGAAGTAATTTTTCCATAACTCTGTCCATATAAACAAGAATAAAATTTATCATCAATAATAGATTGACCTAAGAATGAAATCAATAAGACAATAATCCATATTTCCACTTCCCTGAACTGGATAAAGACATCATAAAACTCAATTCTGTGACACCCCAGGCTCACCCCAGATTTAATGTACCATTTACTAACATTAGTAAATTATGGGTTCAATTATGAGTTGATTTGGAATGGGGTTACTTACACTTAATTATAATTCTATCATTAAGTTCTTATTTTTGTTAGTATTAGCCATCTTCAACACCTGGTCTAACATAAAGGAAGTGAGAGTAATAAATGGTAAAATAAGGGGACTGAGGTATATTTCAGTAAAATGTAGGCTATAGGAAAATGAAAAGGTTAATTGGATACAGGATTAAAGTCTTTCTATGAGTCTATACCTGAAACTTTATTTTTCTCTCTTTAGAAGAAAGTAAATTTCATATACAGATCTGGAAAAATGGAGCCCAGTGATCTCTGCATTTGGAAGGCTATCAGTTAATGTGTTCATAAATGTCTTGAAAGGATGAGGGTTAAAAATCCATTGTTATCATACAGCATTATATGTGATAGCTACAGAAAGAAAATATATCACCTGGAAGAATTTAAGTAAGAAGATACAAGACTTAGATATTTTGAAATCTCTTAAAACCTTTTTTTGAGACAAGGTACTTACTGTAGTGGAACAATGGATGTCTTTCCATACTGTAGCCTCTCTAGATAGATCAGAAACTTCAAAAAAGTTATCAAGAATAACTTCCCCAATCATATCATGTCTAGAAAACCTGTCAAAATCATACACGCTGAAATGTAGCTTCCTGTTGCAAAGTTGATCATAGGCCACAGGAAACTGAAAGGTTTCATTAAAGACAGGGTTTAAAGTCTTCCTATGAACCCGTGTCTGAAACTTTTTTTTCCTGTCTGGAAGAAGGTAGATTTTCACATACGGATCTGAAGTTCCCGTAAAGTCTTTAGCTGGTAACTCCAAAGCTTTAATGATGGTGACCAAAAGCAGTTCGTTTTCATAATCATATTTGAGGGTAAAGTTGAGTTTTCCACAGGTTTTCACATCCTCTTTCTTGCCTTCAGAATCCACAGACTTTTGCTTGTAAAGCTCAGGTTTTATCCGTCCAATGCTGGTTGTTGTCTCCCCTCTTTGTAAAACTGGTTCTGGACCCATGTTAAAATCAATGCTAGACACCTGCATTTGCCTTGGCAAATGTCTCCTGAAAGAGTTGTGCCTGCATTAAACAAACAGAAAGAAATTAGCTTAGATTGTCTTGAAGGGAAAGAAAAATAACTTGGATACTATTAAAAATGAAAGAAATAAATCAGCACTTCAATATTATTGTTACAACTCTCATGAGGGAATAGTTATTAACAACTCTATATAATCCAGGAAGATAAGTCAGTAATTCAGTTCAAGAAGAATAATGATAATTCAGAAAACAGGAAATGGAGAATTAGGTATATCAAGAGGAGAGGGAGGGGAAAAAAAAGGCAGAAATGCAGAATAAGTAAATCAGGGAGAGGGTAAGAAAACTTACAAGAAAAATAAATGAGGGAAGAAAACCCATCTCCCAGTTCCACCCCAGTAGTCATCATTCAGGTAGTAGTCCTTGACTTACGACCACAACTGAGCCCAAAATTGAGTGAGGTTTGCCCATTTTACAATGTTTCTTGCCACAATTGTTAAGTGAATCACTGTAGTGGTTAAGTTAGTAATAACTAAGTTGATAAGTGAATCTGGCTTTCGCACTCAGTTTGTCAGAGGTGATCACATGACCCCAGACAATGCAACCATCATAAATATGTACCAATGACCAAGTGTCTGAATTCTGATCACATGACCATGGGGACGCTGCAATGGTCAAAAGTGTGAAAAATGGTCATAAATCACTTTTTTTCAGTACCGTTGTAACTTTGAAGGGTCACTAGTGGATTGTTTTAAGTCAAGGACTACCTATGATGCTGATTTGTAGAAGAGTATGATCTTGAAAAGTAAACTAGGAAATTACTGTATATTCCAGCGTATATGGTGACGTGGTGTATAGGACGACCCCTGTCTTCGGTGCCGAGTCGCATGCCTAGAAAGTGGTCTTATACGCCGGAAACTACCGTAATTTCCAGCGTATAAGATGACTCGGCATATAAGACGACCCCCGACTTCAGCGCTGATTTTACCGCTTGCGAAAGTCGTCTTATACGCTGGAAAGTACAGTAAAATAAATAAAATGAACTAATTAGCCCTTCAATTCTCCCCTTGTTTTCTGGAAGAAGAGTAGCCATTCTGTGTTGTTGCCATGGGTCCAGTGGTGGGATTCAGCTGGTTTGCACCACTTCAGGAAAACTGGTAGCTAATTTTTTGTTGCCCACCACTGCATGGGTCATAAGGATATTGTAAGCTAGGCTGACTCAAAGAAGTTTTTATTTTTCATTTTCCTATTTTATAAGTGGCTTTTCTATATTGCATGTTTGCCCTTCATCGAAACGGGACAACAACCACTTCTGGAAGACAGAAATAGATGACATCCTCCTCTATTAAACCCGTACTCGATGTCAAAGACAGTTTAATGTTGTTGTTTTTCTGCCCTTCCAAATACTTTTCTATATTATGTTGCCTTGAGGATCTTTGTCCATAAAGCACTTAGGATTGTTGTTAGCTAAATGCTGCATTTCAATGCTACTTCATAAAAGCAGGAGTGCACCATCAACTGAATCAGTGCTTATTCTGCTTTTTGACATAATTACAGCTCATTTCCTCATGAATGCTGTAATAGAGCAATGGTCATAATACTTGCCTTGTAAATAGAAGATGGTTGGTTCAAACATGGGGCAGATTTTTTTTTTTTGAATTACCATTTCTCTTCCAATTTCCAACTTTTACCTCTTGAACAAAAATGCCAGTCTGAAGTAAACAGGAGCAATGAAGCTTTGGCCTGTTCTGTCTGTCCCGTTTCCTGGCTACATTGCCTTTGAATGCAGAAGCAAAATGTCTTTCTGTGCAGATGCCCAGCAGCATCTTTTTGAAGCACCACATGCGGTTGCTTAATAATGCAAGAAGAGATGCTTCATAGGGTGCTCCGTACATTCTGAAGCATCATTCAAAAGATTTGTACAGTTCTGCTCTCTGGTTCTGCTATTTCCTAATCTGAAGAAGCCCCTAGATTTGTCTTCTTTTGGAACCTAATAGAAGCTTGGAAGCCTGGGAAGCTGTTAATAATTAGCAGCTGGTTGTAACATGTACTATGGACCTTCACAGGTGACCTTCTTACTAAATGAATGCACATGAGTATTTTAATGAAATTCTTTTCTTATTTGGGAAAGAAAATCTTGAAACAAATGCCATTTCATTAAATGGACCGAGATGTTCTAGAACAATAGACTGAGATGTGCTAGAAAAAAATGTATATGCAGCAGAATTCTTTTGCATAGCTCTGTTTAAAACACCTGTACTGAATACATAACATTGTTCCCTTTGGCTTCTATTGTTAGCAACTTCATAGCTTGCCTAGGTTGGATGCTACAGAGAGAGTTATTCCCTGGATGATATAATATCATCATATTCAATGATATTTGTGCTCTAATGACACAGTGGTTTGCGTCAGTTTCTGAATCCCAACATTTCATGGAGACAGCTGATTGATGTGTTAATTACTCAGATGTGTTTTGTTCCCATAGCAACGTGGGAATGCTTTTCTGAACCACAGAAACTATGGGATTTGTACGATTGCCCTACAAAGGTGTCAGCACAGCTAATTAGAAAGTGCACACTTAACAGCTCACATCTGCTATGCTGTTCCTCCCACATCTGCCATATCCCTGCACTTTGATTTGTTGCTTTGCCTGGATTGATCTTCATTTTTTGGAGCCTTGAAGGCAAACCAAAAATGGTCCTCCATGTCCTAAAGAATTTAAACACACAAATTCTGAGCAGCATCTTGTCAGATCCGTAGCTCCTCTGAAATTGTCTAGTGGGAATTTGTGCCCCAGGAACAATAGCAGCGGAAAGTTGCCAGATGAATTGCTCTTGCAGATTTACTATAGTGGAACCTCAGTTTTTTAAAAAAATTAAAATAGCATAAACTGGATGTATTTAATTCGTTTCCTTGCACGGAGTGGGATATTTCAAAATATCTGAGGTTCATCTTCCTTTCAGACAAGAACAGCCAATTTCAGAAAATGCAAAGGAACGAGTAAATTTACTGAAACAATTTATGTTTCAGATTGACTCTTGCATGGAGTTATTATCTTCTGGCATGGCTCCAGTTTTGCTTGAGGGTCTGTGATATCAGCTTTTCCTGCCCAAGAATGCCACCTGTGCTCTCACCCTACAGCGGACCTGAACCAAGACATTGCTATCCTATCTACTTCCATCACCTCCTTCTTCCCTAGATGTCACCTTTAAGACCTCTACTCCACTCTCTCCTTGCCAGGCCACAGCTGCAGGTTCTTTCTAGCATTAGACTCCTGCCTGGTTATGCATAATATCCCAGATCCAGTATCAGAGGGAAATGAAATCAGAACAATACCAACATAATGCTTTTCCACTGGCTCAGTTTCATGCATTCAGCTACAAGTCAAACAATTTAATCATGTAACGAGACATGAGTTGATAAGCAAGCTACTCAACTTAGATGGTGGTGGTTTCTTTCATTCATTTAGTGGCAGCAGAAACCAACATGCCATGGTGCTCTTGGGCCACAAGATTGGGGGTGGGACATTGGCAGAGGGGCCAGGAATAGAAGAATATTCAAATTCAACAGGAATTATTTAGCATGTTTTGAATAAATAACACAACATATTTTATCAGTTAGATGTAGATTAGTTAGGATCCCTTAAGATCATGAAGTAACTCTATAAAGAGAGCATCAGCATTCAGATGATTGTTTCCAGGAATGGAGCACATAACTCCAGAATCTAGAATCATGTAAGAAGGTACAGTATATCAGGTATGGTTTTGATGACTATATGGTAATTTCAGACTCTATTTGATAGAGTCTAGCATTGAAAGAAAGCTAACACTCTCTTGTCCATTCTTCTGAGTTCCTGTAGCATAGAATGTTGGACTAGAATAGACAATCCACTAGCAGACAAATTGGAACTTGCACGAAAATTTCAGTAAATGATCATGCTGAAAAAAACTTTAATTTAGGGTTTTGAGCTAACCATTGATGGTGGTGATTTTTGGAAACACCATCCATATTTAAAATAATCTCAGTTATTCACAAGATAACCATTCAATGAAAGCTTAAGAACAGAGACTATGTATTGCTGAAATAACTATGATATATATCATTACAAAATTTTTTCTTCAGGCAAATTATACATGGTTTGTAGATTCATAGAATGTGAGTTCTATGCAAATTGCCTGTCCAGTGCCAGAATCTACTATTACTTCAATTCAATATCTGTGTTGAAAATTGCAGTTATCTTGGTTTGGCTGAATGTGCAACTTACTAACCTCAGTTCTGATCTGGAAAATTATCTGAGATCTACATCCTAACCCAACAGTTAAATTCCAACATTTTAAAAAAACAAGTCTTATAAGTCTGTGAATTTGCTTCACTAGTTTTACTGCAGATATTCAGTTTCACATTTCCTGAACCAATATAACATAATGTTATACTGGGAATGTTGGGAATTTTCTAAGCAGCAACAACAGCAGATGCTTCCAGAGAGCTATAAATTAGAGGGAAATAAACACAAGCATGTGTGTTTTGATAGATATAATCACAAAAAGGCTTTTAATAATGAGTGCTGAGAAAAGCACAGAAGAAAATTTGAATACATAATTGTGCACATATTTAAAAAGTATTTAAAATTGAATGGCAAAAATTATTATGATTGGAAAAATGAGACAATGAATGAAAATGTAGTACTTAGTAGACAGATTTATTCATCTCTACTTGCCAATTCCTCTGGATAGGATGCTAAAATGCCATCTCATGTCCAGTGAATTGTGTTGATGAACCTCGAGAATGGAAGTTCTACCAGGAGATGCTGGGAGCTGAACCTCTTATTTTGTGGATACAAACAATATAGTTTATCTTTATTCAGTTACAAGGTTGGGCATAATAGCTTAGAACCTTCAATCAAAATAGAGCTGGAAGGGATTTTGGAAGTTTTCAAGACAAAGCCCCTATTCAAGTACTATAACATTTCAGACAAGTAGCTGTCCAGTCTCTTCTTAAAAACCTTCAGTGATGAAGCACCCACAACTTCTCAAGGCAAGCTGTTC